CTCTTTCTCTTAATGCAATTTTATTCAGTTATGTTTTGTGATTCTATGATCATGTTTGAGTAATTTGCTAGTTAGGTTAGGACTTTCCAAAGGTTGATGAAGAGTTTGTAGAATTGCTACTTGTTAGGAATATCTTTTGGTTTTTCATCTCTGCTTGCTTTAAATTCGAATTTCTTAGACACATCATCTAGAAATCCGAAAATCATAGGTTGTTAAATATATGTGAGAACATTATTGATAACTTGAACTAGTATTTGATGAGCAAAACAACTTAGTGCAAAGAGGTTTGGCTTGGAAGTTTTGTTAACAATTGAATCTGATCATTCCTGCATGTTTAGGTTGTTAGGGTTTGCAAAGAGATTTGAAACTCTGTGATTTAAACATAGTTAACTTCTGCAATAAGAATTGATTACTTATATATCTGATATTCATGTTCAAAACAGTTCTTAATCATTCTTGATTTCATGCATTCTACATTCTCGGATTCAACCTGCGAACTGTCCTGACTTAGCGCTTTTAGTCTTCTGAAACTTAGATCAACAGCTTGAATTTCGTTTGCTTACTTTTATGTATTCATTCAAATTACATACATTACATTCTGCTTAGCTTAATCCGAACTTACATTCGATAGTGTAGTTTACATTACTCTTTTGGGATTCGATACCCCTTGTACTACAACTGCTTTTGTTGTGGACTTGCAGTAGTTTTATTTGGGTAAAACATGAGCCATATCAGGGAAATGAGCACATTTCCTAAAAGGTTTTCTCTATCAATAACCTAAGCCCATCAAGACAAGGAAAATTACACTGATTTGTGGATTAAGGAAAATTCTTTGAAGATAATGGCAAATCTCCAAAGAATAAGGAAAAGAATAAGTTTTCCTTAACTGAAAAGGAGAAATATTTCTAAATAAAAAAGGGAAACAAGGTCAAAGAAACCGACCTCGTCTTCTTATAAATAGAGAGTTTTTCATAAGTTGAAGACCATAAAAACGGAATAAAAACCCGATCAAAAGCAACCACCGAAAAATCTAAAATCTAGAGAGAAAACCTAATTCTCTTTATATTTCTTCTGTCTAAACACTTCGCAACCGAACTACGAATAGCTTGATCCTTTTGCAAGGGTACGTAGGCAGCCTTTCTCAAAGGTCCAGCTATAACTTGATAAAAACTTCAAATAGTTCATGTTTTCGATGACCTAATCTCCGAGCTCCAATTTGATATTCTCCAAAACCCAAACCGTAAATCATTCAAACCCTAGTGGTGATTTTCTGGTTCAACAGTTGGCGCTGACTATGAGGACTAGAGAATTATCAAACATGGAAAGCGGAGGTTCAAGATGGCAGCATAAATTCTGACGTTAGAAGTCATGCACTCTACCGTAAAGCAAATCACAAAACCATTCACCGAGATAAGTTTTACTAATGCACCGATCTATTTACTTTATTTTAATAAATTGAATTTGCCATCTAAAACCCCAGTTTTCTGATTGATCAACACATATTTGCGAACTCACTGGCTTTAGCATACATGCTTTGATATAATTCATGCTTCGGTCCCACTCAATGATTTTTTTCTCATGCTATCTGAAAAAGCAAAAAAATTATTGCCTGATCAATATTGTCATGATGTTCAATCGTTTGATTTAAAAATCATCTTATTGGTATTAGAGATCTGCTCTAATAACCAATCATTCATGTCTCTTCATCATTGAAAATCTTAAGATCACTTCCATTGTTTAGTATGCTATTACTTTATGATTTACGATCATGCTTTTAATTGTGTCTCATTACTGAGTTCGCCACATGCTTTAATTATGCATGGCTTAATATGTCATTATTTCGAGATCTCACTTTTTTCTAGTTATTCGTCATGAGTTTAACAGAGAGGAACATCTAATCAACTCGAGTCAAAGCCAAACTCAAAGCCTTACAAAGTCAACGCCGAGCTCTTAAATTAGTAGTGCTTGAAATTCGTTGAACGAATTTGCAAGAAAATTAAGCAGGTCTATAAAAAAACCATGATCGTGGTGGGATGGTAGAAGAACCGGGCTGTGAATCAAGCCCTAGAACTCTGGCCAAGAGTTACCTCGGCGCGTCTTAATCAACGACTTTGCATCGCCAAACGAAGAAAACAAAAACCAAGGTGAGATGCTAAACGCCACATCTCTTCTCTACAACAAAATTGAGATCAAAGAGTCAGATCAAAACACAACTAAAGTCGAAGCCCTTTTACCAAAGGCATGCCGTGCTGCACACTTAAAAGTTAAAAGAAAGCTTCTCTTCTAAAACGCCAGCTCGGCTCATTTCATTCAGAAATTCCGACGTGCTCTACTACTTAGCTATCCCACAAAGTCTTTAAAGACGTCACGTGACGAAGCTCAACACACGAGCTCCACCCCTCTAAATAGAGCATGATTTACACCATACAACTTTCAATTAAGGCTCTAAGTTATCAAACAAGGAACAGAAAAAACTAAAGCAATAGAGATGAACGAGCTCGGAAGCTCTGCAAAAAAAGAAAAGAAAAAAAAAAGGAATGGCTTACCTTAAGTTCATCAAGCACATTCACAAGAGCAACAAAATCATGGCAGCATTAAACGTCATTGCTAATCGCATAGCTTTGCCTTTAGAAGATATTAAAAATTTCTACCAAACGAATGCCAACACCAAGATTTTCAAGGCAACATCTCAGTCAAGCCGAGCAAGAAGTCTCTTCTTGAATGAGACCACTACACAAGCAGAAGTACAAATAAAACTCCAAAAGAGAAAATAGAAGGGCTAGGCACCACCGAGTTAGCTCACGCCCAACTCACCAGCATGCCAGTCTGAACGCATCACCCAATCACAGCATGCCAGTCTGAACGCATCACCCAATCACGTAGAGGAGGCTACTTTGGAGACTGGCCGAAATCAAAGGAAACACCGGTTAAGTGCAAAGAAGTTACCAACAGCACCATCATCAACGCAGGAGTCCAAATAAGTCAAGATGTAAACATAACTATGCCAGAAATGAACACATTTCCTAAAAAACTTTCTCTAACAATAATCTAAGCCCATCAAGACAAGGAGAATTACACTGACTTGTGGATTAAGGAAGATTATTTGAAGATAATGGCAAATCTCCAAAGAATAAGGAAAAGAATAAGTTTTCCTTAACGGAAAAGGAGAAATATTCCTAAATAAAAATGGGAAGCTAGGTCAAAAAAACCGACCTCGTCTTCTTATAAATAGAGAGCTTTTCATAAGTTGAAGACCATCAGAAAACGGGATAAAACTCCGATCAAAAGTAACCACCAAAATATCTAAAATCTAGAGAGAAGACCTAATTCTCTCTATATTTCTTCTGTCTAAACACTTCGCAACCGAACTACGAATGGCTTGATCCCTTTGCAAGGGTACGTAGGCAGCCTTTCTCAAAGGTCCAGCTATAGCTTGATAAAAACTTCAAGTAGTTCATCTTTTCGATGACCTAATCTCCGAGCTCCAATTTGATATTCTCCAAAACCCAAACCATAAATCATCCAAATCCTAGTGATGATTTTCTGGTTCAACACCAATTGCTGTAAAAAAAAGTATTCACTACTCCCTCTGTTTTTCTTTATAAGATGTTTTAGAAATTTTTTTGTTCATAATTAGATGATGTTTTCAGAAATCAATACAAAAAGTAATTATTTTATTCTATATATTATTTTTCTATTGGATGAATTGTTTTGGAATTGATGTTTTATTTTGGAAAAAGAGAAAATTAAATAACTTCTTAATCTCTGTGCAAAACTTTAAACATCATATATTAAAAAAACGGAGAGAATACCATTTTTGCTAGCATAGTTGTTTCATCTAGCAATAAATTTTACACAATATGTAACTTTAGCAAAAATATTAAATAAAAGCGATTAACTAAAGCTAAAAACAATTTATCATCTAAAAAAATAGAAAAAATAAATATAATAATCATACATTATATAAAATCTTACCATAACATTTTAACTAATTTAAAATCTATTTAATCAAAATATATATTAAAACAGTTTATAATATATAATATAAAAATAACTTAAGATCTAAATATAAAAAAATTAAGTACGATAATCAACATTATATATCAAAAAATTACCATGACATTTTAGTTAATTTAAAATTTATTTAATCAAAATATATCTTAAAATAATTTATAACATATATTCGTGCGTAAAGCAGATGAAAGACCTAGTATTACTGAAATTTTGTATTAATGAAATCTTTTGGAAAGAAAAAAACAATAATCTTGGATAGTAAAACCATTGAACTTCTATATATGTTCCACACAAAAAACAAAAACAAACTTTTATATTTTGTTTTTTTTAACAAAAAGTAAATACATTTATGATATTATTAAAGGTAAAAGTTTACCACACAAATAAAATTTCATTACTATTATAATTTTATTTAAGTATAAAAATAACACATATAATTTTTGTTTAGTTACAAAATATGAACATATTGAAATTATTGGAGTATTTTGGAAATAAAAAAGTTCTACTTTAAAAATAGAGATTATGTAACTTCAAATTTAGAATTACATATATAGATTGATATTTTTAGAGTAAGATATAGAGTACCACTATAGATGGTTTTACTTCAAAAATTAAAAATAAAATTTTGATTTGAAGATATGTTAAATGCCTATTTTAAGCTGTTTTCCTCTAACAAATGACACCTAAAATCAATAAATAAAATATGTTGAAAGGGAGAAAAAGCTTAAACCTTTAATGTTATATTGATTAAGATTCTAAATATGTAATTCTTGGGTCGAGTCTAACAACAATAGTGATGGGACTAACTGAAAATATATTTTTTATGTTGGTGGTTTATGCACTTTTCTTGGGTCAAATATAACCTAATGTGTTTCCACAACTTACCTTAAAAGTTGTTGAGCTAACCACAAACAATTCCACCACCAACTTTGTTTTGTGACAGTCTCTCTGTTGTTTACCTCACCACAAATCCAACACCCCACTCAAGAACAAAGCACAATGATATTGAATTACCATTACATCCGAGAGAAAATGGCTTTGGTACCATTTTTATGATCAAAAATACATTTGTTTTTTATTTGTTTTGTGTGTCAATGAAAATGATTAACTAACTAATGGAAACAAACTAATAATCAGTCAAAACTGGAAGAGAAAGTGTATTAGTAAATCCATTTCCATGCTCTGTTCATAATCTCGCCTTCTACAAACGGACGCAATGACCACACCATAGTGTAAGTCTCTAGCCCAGCAGATGATGACTTCAAACTAAGCGATCTCACAATCTTTTCCTGCAAATCAGTATCCATTTCTCTTCAATAAGCTTTTCAAGTTTTAAAGATCAAACATGAAAAGTAGTATCTTAAATGGTTCAAATCTCAGACACCTGCATCGCATAATTCTACTTCACCATACTGTAAACTACTGCAATAACCGTAGCGTACTCTGTAGCCTCAGGTTCTTGAGGAAAAGTGACAGTCGCGTTCTCCTGAAACCAAACACATCCAAATAATATCACTCTTTCTATCTGTAACAACATCTCCCTTTCTATCGTACCTCATCACACGTTACTTGTCGTAATTCATCACTTGGTTCTTTATCGGTGAGACGCTCAATTAACAAGCTTTGAGCTGCAATTTCCACATCTTAAAGATTAAAGAGGCATAATTTGCTTACAATAACCGAAAATATAATTATGTAGGAGCCAATGATGACATGAAACATCAACCAATAGCCAAAAAAGAGAAACAGAGACGTAATACATTACCTTTGATCAGAAAGTCTTGTAATGAGGTCAAACTAGGGGCTGGTAAAAAAATCCAAGCCTCTACTATCTATGTTGTTTGCTCATAACATAAAAAAAAAAAAAAAAAAAAGCAAGCAGAGCCTCTTCCAGAGAAAAAAAGGTTTAATTGTCAAGGAAAGAAAAAGAAAATCCTCGTACTCAGAAGAAACTTCAAAACTCAAAAGATTCATGAGCTGGGCTCGAGGCAAACAACGAAACTCATCAACCGTAGAAGCGTTGTGGGTCACATGAGACCCAACCTTTGATTCCTCTACGAAATCAATTCATAGTCCTTAAATCTAGAATAGCCAACATGTGTCCGAAACAATTTAAAAGGAGAAACTTAGATATATCAAGTTAGAAATTCATGTCTTCCTTTTGCCTAGAAACCATATCATTGAAATCCATAGTTTTATCAAATTGAATATATGTCAAGTGAAATACTTGTTTTCTTTTTCCAACTAAACGGAGTTTTGATATTTTATTTTACAGATTATGATTAAACCGGAAAATAAAATACAAACGGACTTTTAAGGGAAGGAGAATATTTTGACCCCCAAAAAAAAAGTAGTATTAAAGAGAATAAACATAATGAATTTAATATGAGAAAACCAAAATACAAAAGCCAAAATTATTATAATATACATTCGAATGTCAAAGAAAATAGGAGTCAGAGATGACAAATAAAACAGAAGGTGTCATCTGAACCTGAAGACATAACGACACAGATTCCTCAGACTCCGTTGTCTTTCTCTTCTTGTGGGTCCCTTCACCCTCACTTGCACATCTCTTCCCTCTTTTGTCCTCATCCATATCCATTTTCTTTAGTAATTAATTTTATTGTTTAATGGAGAAAAAACAAAATCATTTAAGGGTTGAGTGAAAACAAAAACATCATTAGAAAAACAAAAACCAAAGAAAACATCAATTATTATGACCCGGCTTATCTTCGATTATTTTGTTTTTTCTATATCATCGATTATTGTTTTTCTATATAGTCCATTATTGTTGAGTCCTATTCAACTAATTTCATTCGATATCATAAGATTGGGCATTCGGATATTCAGATCGGTTTTAGATCCTAACCAATCGGTTATAGATTTTTGGGATAAAGTTATATTATATTATAGATACCACTAATATTTTAATTCAAGTTCAGTTTTTATTAATTTTTAGGTCGGTGTGGATTTATTTTATCTAGTCAAATCCAAATCAAGTTATTTTATCCGAAATAAAACTAGAATATCCGATAATATAAACCATTAACCGAACAAATATTAAATACGAAATTTGTAAAAAAGAAAAGAAAAACAAATCAATACAAAACTAAAGAACACGATTTTTGGTTTTCGGCAAACGTTCTAGAAAAAAAAACTTTAGTTTTGTTTTGTATTATCTCAGATTCGTTTCATCTAAGCTTTAGGTTTGAATTTCAATATTAGATATATATTTTTTGGAGATTTGATTCGGATTTTGAACGAGAGAACTAAATCTAGTCAATATTGATTCAAAAGTACATTGAGGAGAAGTAGAAATCGATTCTTTCAACTTTTAGAAATCGCTTGTGAATCTGAAGAGACTTGTTGCTTCAGGTCAGTTGGTTAAAATCAAAGCTTCTTTCAAAACACCAATTTGCTCAATCATTCATAGCACCAAAATCGATGGCGTCTTTTCCAATCAAGAAACCAACTTGTTATATCTAGGATATTTTTTAATTTTAGATAACCAATCGGTTTCGGATAAAGACAGAAACTGATCTGATACCCACGGATTTGAAGCACAAAATCTGCTGGATAAATAAGCTATAACTGAATCCAATCTAAACCAGTTATTTTGGGTCGGTTCTGATTTGGTTTTTTATCCAATTTTTTTCTAGGTTTATAATATTATTTTTGTTTAAAAAAAAATTGTCACCAAAAATATAAGAAACAATAATTTGGTTATGCATAAATAGTTTAGATATTGCCAAAAAAACATCATTAAAAGAAAGAATGGCTTATTTGCTAGGTAACCACATTTTGGTTATCAGATTGTATGTAACTAAGGAATATTATTTTTTGCAGCTAAGTAAATTATGTATAAATTGTATGTAATGTTATTAAATTTTTTTAAACATATTAAGATATAAATAACCTTTTAGCAACAAAAACATATTGAAATATAAATTTAGCCTGTTATCAAAAACAATTATATTTTAGGAGCTAAGAAACTTTTTAATCATCATTGGTTGGAAACAAAAATAATAAACCAAGAGATAGCTAGCTAGGTTGACAAAAAAAAACAAGCAAAAAGTAAAGATATAAATGGAATTAGTTGGCCAATCATGTTTCAGCTAATAGGGTAATAGTGAAAGGACATAACGTGGGCGACAAAGCTAGCCGTGACGATTGCGCCACGTGTAAATTAGAAATGTGCCAGATCAGCAATTACAGGTCAACTTTGGTACAAAAAAGACCCACTCGACTCTAATAAAGCGTTGCAGTTAGTTGTTCTTTAGCTGTCACGAGCGTAAGCTAACGTCAACGAGCCATCAAGCGTTTGTGTTTTTTACTTTTAAGTGCGCGTCAGGCGCAATATAATCCCGCGTAAGTTAACAAGTCGTTAACTGTTTGTTTAAGTGCGCGTCAGGCGCATTATAGCCCCGCTATGTCCTTATCCTTTGGGCCCAAACACTTTTAGTCTTGGCCCACTTTTATAAATATGCTACGAATTTTTTGAAAAAAAACTTTTCTGTCGAAGGACCATAATTCTTTTCTTCCTTTTTTCAATGTCACAAAAGGCCAAAAGATACTTTCGTCTTGTATGAAATTGGATGATTGTATGTTAATGTAAATTTAATACATATTAATTCTTCACAAGCTGTTGGACAAAATTTATTTGGGATCATCTCCTATCTCTCAAACCGTTATCAAGAACGAAAGAATTATATTGTGGTTCAGTATTATTTTATTTTTTATGAACATTTGTGGTTCAGTATTATGAATGGTTTAATTTAGTATAAATAGTCTTCATAGAGAATTATATCTAAACTATTAAAAGAGGATCATTCTTGATAAATGTTCAATTCATACCATGGTATTTACAAGTCATGCCATTACATTTACTAGAGAATTTCATGATTTCATTAAGGGTAATAAAGACAATTGTATTACAAGCATAATTTTGATAATATAATAAAAGGAAAACATAAATTTAAATTAACCTTAATAAGATCTTAGAAATCCCTTAATAATAGGAAAAAATTAAAAGTGTTTATAAAAACTCCAAAATCATAATTAAATTAAATAATATCAATATTTTTTAAAAAATTCAAATTTATGTAAGCAACTAACCGAATATCACATAAGTTCATATATAGATTATATTCAATAATTTATTATTCCTAAAATATAGTGCCAATATACTTCATCTCTATCAGATATAATTTAGATTTTGTGAAAGTAAAAATCCTTCATGCTTGGATGACAAATTCTGCACAATCATTGGAATTGGTTTTAGCAAATGATACTGTAAGTTTTAATATTTACAATTGCAATGTTTAGTTAATTTTTCTGTTCGTAACAAGAGATGCATACATTAAACTAAAAAAAAGAAATTAATTTCTGCTTATTTAGATACAAACATGGAGAGTCTCGGAGACGAACATATTGGCGTGCCCACACGACTAAAGCAAATCATTTGAGGAAGAAATAGAAAAGTGAAGAAGCGTCTCCAAAAGGTACAAATGAAGTCTTCAAGATAATTAAGACAATTCTCTTAAATCATTGAAGCACTGTTTCAAGAGTCATTAAAACAATATCATGTGAGTTCCTTTGACAAGACGTTTGATATTTTTCAGATCGTCCAATTCAAGTTTATTTATAATCATTGATTTTATAGATATGTAGTTGTTTTTAAACGTTTGTAGAAAGCTGAAGGATTAGCCTGTTTGGTGTTTTTTTCTACTAGGATCTATAACCAGTTAAAGGTATGTTTCCGTTTTGGTATGGAGTTAAGAGTGATGACTCTGTGTTTTTCAAAACAATATAATTTTGATTGTTAGATGATTTTTGAGGCGTAGCACCCAAAACTCTCTTATTCCTTTAAAACAATATACCAGAACGAATGTTTGCACTATAACAAGTGATGATCGATAGATCTATCTTATTCCTTCAAATTGACATACTTTTCTATGAAAATTATGTTAATTTCTTTATCCTTTGCACACATATAAATATTATTTATGGAGTATTTCAGAGTACATAGAAGAGTACGTTCATATTGTAAAATTGTTGATGAAATCAAGTACATTCAGAATTCGATTAAGAAGATCCATATTGTAAAAATGTTGTTGACTAAGAATGTTAATTTGGACTACATTGATTGTGGTAGGTTTGCACTCTTTCATGAGAGCTTAGGGTTTTGGGGCAGACGTGAGCTACGTAGCTCATTTTGAACCAACCACAGAGGGAAGGGATCCCGCGATCGTCTCTAGCTAAGAACACGAATATTGTGTTAGCCGACGAACTCGTCATAGCCAATTCTTTTAAGCTGAGTGAACCACTCAAATTGTGATCACAATGGATAACCAGACTTCCGCAAAGAAAGTGCTTTATTGGTTCAAAACTTATCCGATAGTATTTGAAATTAAATTTGAGTCTTTCTATTACTTGCTAGAACCTAAATCGAGTAAATAAGAGAAAATGCTATTTTGTTAATCTGGGTATAACTTTTTTAACTAATTAATTTAGATTGTTACTTGATTTGTTATTTCGAAATATCGAAATGTAGTTTTTTATTAGGTTGGGTGTTTGCTTTGTTTTAAGTATTGGGGGTTATGTTTTTTTTTTGACTAACCATTTTATTCATTTCAAAAGATGATGATTACAGAGTTATTAAACAGAATTACTGAAGCACAAATTATGACATATGCAGATATATGTGTTATATAGTGAGAAAAATACATCAAAATGGTTATGTGCAGAGAATATGTGCTAAAATTTCAAAACCAAAAAAAAAGATAGAGAATTTTAGCTACTTTTGTGATAGAGAATTTTTAACAGGACTTTAGTGATAAATCATAATCAAATCAGATGAGTCATTTTCCCACAAAAAAAGGATACTGAAGAAAAAAGATATATCAGAAATATTAGGAAACAAAAGTTTAACTTACCAATATATTATGAGGCAATAGTAATATTTGATCTTTTCTAGATTACTAATATTTAGCTTCGACATGGATAA